TATGGTGACACGCTTCCCCCCCACCCCTACTCTTGGGAACATTTCTTAACGATTTCTGTTTCGAACTGACGAGCTGCGGGGAAAAAAATGGTTTGGTCCTCATTTCACCGGTGTGGATAACCTGTACGAAATGTTTCCGCCCAGTCAACCAAATCTGCGAAGCTAAATTTTGTCCAATGCCTGTTAGAGAGTTATGGCTACAAGTTTGATGCAGTATTTGATATAAATTCGGTCAGTATCGATATAATAGTAGGAATGTAATTATATAAATAAATATAATATAGTAATTAAGGAGGTAAAATAGTACTGTATTTTTTAAAACTCTGGAACCTTCTAGGATTTTCCAGAGCTCTGTGCAGCTCACGCAAACAAACACACACACACTCACCCTGCATGGAATTTTAAAATCAAGTTTTAAAAATCAGTATTATGGATTATTGCTTCAGCTGTTTTAAATCAATATGCTCTAGAATTTTTATACATATAAGTACGACAGAGATAGAGAGAGAGAGAGAATGTGTTTTGTTTCATTTTAGTATTCAAGAAAGTACAGATACACGCCCAGACATACTGTTGCACACTGTGCATGCCTTACAGTATTATACACAGAAACCACGAAAACCCTACATAAATGAATAAAACGATTACCCTAAAAATCATGATACCTTTATTTTATAAGCTTTGTGACCTAAAATTTCTACTTTTTATTAGTACTTCTCGTTCATCGACGATACTTCGTAAATAATAAAAAAAATTTGTAGTTTTTCATTTTAGGCAAATTTGAAGAAGTTAGACTACTCACCCCTCTTGACCGATGTGTTGGAAAATTTCAATGTTTTCCACATCAAATTTATGGGACACTCCATGGTCGTACCAGGTATATAAACTCTTCAAGGAAGTCTTAGCCGGCAAAAACGTTTAAATTCAGTCTATTGAGTCGATGCATTAAGCACTCAGGAATAATTTGAGACTAACTACTGCAGAATCCCAGAATTAGTAAAATTATTTATGCCTGTATTAACGTTGACCCTTATGGAGCGGCAACCCTGTTTGCACAGGTTTCTATCGCATTTACACAGCTGAACGGGCATCATTCTTCCTCGTCATGCATTAGATTTGAAGTTTAAAGAACGTACCTTACTACTTTCTAGCAACTGGAAACCAGTAATTACAAGAACATTGTTAAAACCACGATTGTTTGTAACGGTTGACACAGTATCTCCTCATGCGTACCCCGTATAGTTCACTTTGGACAACTCTTCCAACGTTATGCTGACAGCTTTCGTCTTGACCAAAAATTCTTTTTGAAGCTGAAAGAACGTAGATTACTCCCCTGTTATCGACAATAACAATAAATGACCAGAACACTGTTAAAATCGCATTTAATCGCGGAATACCACTATTGTTTTGACCGGTGGCGCCACCCGTGGCGAATCGCTGAAACTGCTAGCCTATAATTGGCTAGCAGTTTCAGCGATTCGCCACGGGTGGCGCCACAGGTCATAACAATAGTGGTATTCCGTAATTAAATGCGATTTTAACAGTGTTCTGGTCGTTTATTGTTATTATCAATGACAGGGGATTAATCTACGTTCTTTCAGCTTCAAACTGAATGCTTGGTCAATACGTGACTCGTCCATAGAACGTTGGAAGAGCTATTCAAAGTGAACTAAACGGGGTACGCATGACGAGATACAGTGTCAACCGTTGCAAATAAATTGTGATTTTAACAATGTTCTTGTAATTACTGGTTCCCAGCCATTAGAAAGTATTATTCTACGTTCTTTAAACTTCGAATTTAATGCGTGGCGAAGAAAAATGATGCCCGTTCTCACAAGTACTAACTTCTAACTTCGTTTATGAAAATACAAATTCCAAAATATTCTCGCGCCACACGTCTAGGGTAGTTCTGTCCTGAACTTAAGCACAAAACGTAATTAAAATCATTTAAATAAAATAATTAATATTTCATTATTTCTCATAAATACTAAGACGGTTGTTGTTGTTTAATAATTTATGATAAAATACAAGTTATTCATTTATAAAGCTTCATTACAAGATCCACTAAATAATTTTCTATAACATTCAAAGTACTAGACCTTTTTGGAACACTGAATCTCATATCGATTTCTAAAATAATCCTAGTTCGATGTAATATAGAACGTGGTTTTATGATATAGATTC